ATTGCGTCACGAGATCCAAGATCTTATTGACAAACAGGTGATTGCGCCTCCTGACAAACCCAATGTCACAACCAATCCTCTCCCACCACATAATCAAGCTCCCCTCCCAATAGAATCAATTTTATCCAAACTGGAGTCGCATCTTACGATTCTAGTATCTATATCACCCCATCCTACCTACCCAAGCCGGAGGTGCTCCTTCCTGACTGCACCGACTCTTTGTGCATGTTGGACATCTCCACAACCCAACCAGAGCCGACGGTGGTGACCATCGAAGATGGGGCAACACAGACTTCAGAAAAGAATGGAATTGATGAGTCTGGGATTGAACAGAGTTTTGCTGGGAAAGTCTATGATCCGAGTGAGTACATCTTGTCAACAGGCCAGATTGGGCTGGGTTTAGAATTGCCAGAGAAGAAAGAGCTGTGTGTGATCCAGAGGGATGGATTTGAGCAAGGGGCAAAGGATTTGACGGCTGTGGAGGAGGACTTTGCCAACCTACAGTTTTTCGATGACCAAGAATCAGGGGGTGCGGCAGTCAACTGGTTTGATTTTGAAGAATCGGCAGAGGCCACTGGATGGCTAGATGATCAACCAGATGTGGTGGAAGAATCCCAACCAGAACAGGGCCCGGCAGGGGCGAGAGTATCAACTGTGGCCGGAAGGGCCGGAAGTCAGATTACATTGCCGGAGAGCGCCGGTACGAAGAATTTCGCTCAGAACAAGAGCATTGTGAATGCAGGGGAAGCTGAACAACAAACTACACAAACACAGGCGGAACAAGAAAAGTTTTGGGATTCCGAGAGAATCAGGAAGGCAAAAGCCCATGAAGGGGCCGAGGGTGCTGTGGTCACAAGAACAGAAGATGCTGCGGGCATACGGGCTGAAGGTACTGCGAGTATAATCATACCGGGGCCAGACAGGTGTCTGTCGGCCGCCGACGAAATGTAGTGGGAAGACGATGATTTATGTCTTGCCCACACAGATGAGGATTGGGGAAGTAACCAGCCAGATGACACCTGGTATGCCGGAGGGGTCGACCATATGACAAGAAGTGGGCAGTATTTCAAACCCCCGCACTTGGACCAGCCGGAGGCATCTGGGAAGGATAAAGAAGCTGAGAAACAGAAGGAGAAATAGCTTGAAGAGGAGGCGGTACTGAAGCAGTTAAAGAAGATACAAGCAGACATCTCCATCTGGGGACTGCTTATGGCTTCGCGAGTGCACAGACAGGCCGTCTTTTCGGCCATGGACAAGGCCAAGCTTTCTATAGACACCACACCAGAGCAGCTAGTTAGATTGGTTTTTCCGGGAGGAGGTTCCCCGACGTTGACCTTTCTGACAAAGAACTACCGCCTGAGGGTGCAAATCATAATAAACCCCTTACATCTCCGTGAAATGTAGAGGCAAGTGGGTGCCAGTGGTTCTTATCGACACGGGATCCGCCATTAATATATGCCCGTCAAGGACGGCATATGCGATCGGGTTGAAGCCCGCGGACTTCGTGCCGACTACTCAAGTGATAAGAGCCTATGATAACACTAGCAGGGAAGTGATGGGGACTGTCAAAATTCAGACTCAGGTTGGTCCAGGACAACACAACATTGAATTCCATGTCTTGGACGTTCCCGCGACCTTTAACCTACTTTTAGGGCGACCGTGGTTGCACCAGGCCAAGGCAGTCTCTTCCACCTTACATCAGATGTTGAAGTACCCTCACGGGAAAGGGGTAGCTATTGTTTTTGGGAATTCCTCAATTCATCCACCGCCAGAAGTGTCTACACCAGTCTTGGAAATCGAGCACGGCATGGAAGATGTGTTCTTATCAGGGTTTACTCTGGCTGAGGCCCGGGTTGTGCAGAATATCATGGCTATTAATGAGGGAGTATATGTTAGTGCTCAATCTGTATACCTCATGAACAAGCTACAACACATCCCCGGGATGGGATTAGGAAGGAGCGGCCGGAAGGGCGTCGCAGCATTGGCCGAAGTGCCACACAACCCTCATACCTTTGGCTTGGGATATCTGCCCACCAAAGAGGACTGGGTGAGGAAGGGAAAGGAAATGGCTGGAAGAGCCAAAGAAAAGAAGGCAGGGAAGCCTTTTGAGCTGATGCATAGGCCCATTCAGGGTACCCTAAACGGACGCTTCGTCCGAGAGGGGGAAGACTTTCCATTTTGCGGCTTTCTAGAGCCGTGGCTGAACGCGGAGAGGAAGCGCGTGCCGGGGTTTGAGATTTTCTTTGACCTGCAGTTATCCGGGGATGACGTTGTCGAAGAGCAGACAGACCCATCAGCTGAGGTTGAGTAGTATAAGAAAGTGCAGTCTGAGGACGCCGAACTTGAAATGGGGGTAGCACTGGTATGTCTACTTTCAGATCCTCCGATCGACCAGGAGTGCTTGGGGGATAACTTCTCGGTATGCGTGATCAGGAATGGAACGGCTGCGGGCCCGCCAGCAACTATTTTGGATGCATCTATCGCACCCTCCCTCATTTGGCGGTATGAAGAGGGATTTTTGTCCAGCAGTACCGAGTCAGGTAGTGAGCCGAAATCTGATTCCACCGAGTCTTGTGAGTCGAAATCAGGTTCCAGCTCGACTGAGTCTGAGTCTGGTAATCCTGGGGATGATAACCCGGATGCCACAGTCCTGTCCAGGTCGTCTTTTTCTTTCTCTTTTGAGTCTGTTGTAACCAAGGAATCGGACGATTTGGATGTGCTTAATGAGAATCAGGTAGCTATGGTTTCTGAGTACTTTTCTATGCCCTTGATTTATTGCATTAATTCAGACTTTCAAAATTTTGATGAAAATGACGAGGACGAAGTTCCTCCGATTTTGCAACGCTTAATTGAACAAGAGCAGGAAAGATTTGTTAAACCCCTGGTTGATGAAATCACCACAGTAAATATTGGTACTGAGGAGGACCCGCGACTGGTCCAGATCGGGTCCACGTTGTCTTCAGAGGAACGCGAGCGCTTAGTCGCTTTATTAAAATATTTCAAAGATGTTTTCGCGTGGTCCTACGAAGACATGCCTGGAATCGATCCTGAGATTGTACAGCACCGGATCCCTCTTGACCCCGAGGCCCGACCTGTCAAGCAGAAACTCAGGAAGATCTGTCCCAACTGGGCTCTCAAGATTAAGGAAGAGGTCATCAAGCAAATCGACGCAGGCTTCCTGCTGGTATCCGAATACCCGACTTGGTTGGCCAACATCGTCCCAGTGCCGAAGAAGGATAGCAGGATCCGAGTGTGCATGGATTTCAGGGATTTGAACAGAGCTAGTCCGAAGGATGACTTTCCCTTGCCGCATATTGATGAGTTAGTGGACTTCACAGCGGGGCATGCTTTGCTCTCATTCATGGATGGTTTCTTATGTTACAATTAGATAGTGATGGCACCAGAAGACAGAGAAAAGATTGCTTTCACCACCCCGTGGGGGACTTACTGCTATAGAGTGATGCCGTTTGGGTTGAAGAATGCTGGAGCTACATATCAACGGGTCGCGACTACAATATTGCATGACATGATCCACAAAGAGGTTGAAGTGTATGTGGATGACATGATTGTCAAGTCCAAAGAAAGGGACGGCCACTACACTGCCTTGCAAAAGTTCTTTCAAAGGATCAGAGAATTTCGGTTGCGGCTAAATCCTCAGAAGTGTACGTTCGGTGTTACAGCGGAAAAAATGCTGGGATTTCTGATTACACAAAGGGGCATCAAGGTCGACCCTTCAAAAATCAAGGCCATCTTAGAAATGCCACCACCGAGGACTGAAAAGGAGGTGCGAGGCTTTCTAGGTAAAGTGCAATTCATAAGACGGTTTATCTCAAAATTAACCTTGACTTGTGAACCACTTTTTGGTCTCTTGAAGAAAGGCAAGAAATTCCAATGGGACGGTCGGTGCCAAGCTGCTTTCGAACAGATCGAGGAATATTTACAGAACCCGCCCGTGTTGTCACCGCCAGAGCCGGAGAAACCGTTGATATTATACCTGTCAGTGACCGAGACCACAGTGGGTTGTATGCTCGTGCAAGAGTCAGATGACAAGGTGGAGAGAGCCATCTACTATCTGAGCAAGAAGATACTAGAGTATGAGACTCGCTATACACCATTGGAGAAGGCTTGCTTAGCTTTGGTATGGGCAACCAGGAAGTTGCGGCACTACCTGTTAGCTCACTCCGTAATGTTGGTTTCACGACTCGATCCCATCAAATATCTTTTCGAGAAACCGGCACTTACGGGTAGGCTAGCTCGTTGGTCGTTGTTGCTTTCTGAATTCGACCTAAAATATGTGACACGCAAGTTAGTAAAAGGAAGAGCAGTGGCAGAGTTCTTAGTCGATCATCCAGTGGAAGGGGGCGAAGCAGTCGAGTACTCATTCCCAGATGAGGCCATTTTGCACATCGACGACGAATATTGGACGATGTACTTTGACGGAGCGTCAAACCAATACGGGTATGGGATAGGAGTGTTGCTAATAGCACCCGACAATTCTTTTGAAATTGGGCTGAGAATTATCTAACTAATTCTATAGTTATGCTAATAGGTCTTCAAGCTATTGTATGGCTAGCTTTAAGGCTTCTTGTTTTACAGTTATTTGTCTATTTATTTGAAAAAATTTTAAACTGTAATTTTCTAGGGATCTGCCCAGATGCTAATGATGAAAGAAATTGATACCTAAATTTTTGATCTTCTAATTCTTGTATAAGCTCAGTACTGGTTCTGATTTTAATTCTAAGTTCTTCATCTAAGGGCATACAATTTTGACTTTTTAATTTCTTTTATGAATAATATTTTCTTAATTTTCTCCTAGGGTTTCTCTCTTTTTATTCTAAAATTCTTTTTCTTTGGCAAAACTATTTTTAGACAATGTTTATTTTCATTACATGTACTCCCACCTTGAAGTTAAGCCTCGTTCAATATAGTATATTTTTATTTTCTAATTTTTACTTTTCTCACATGGGTTCCTTGTCTACCTTATACTTTGTTTATGTTGACTTCTGTTTGTTTCTACAATAATTGATGCCCCTGTGACTCACTGGTGCAATCTATGGTATCCAGCTCCGGTTATATGTGGGGAACGTCTGAAAAAGTATGTTTTTCACAAATTACGTACTGAGATGCCGGAAGGACCATTCTGCATTGTTTACATGCACAGTACTGTGCAGAAGGAAGATAACAACCCTGGCCTAACGATCTTGAGGTGGATATATGAAGACCTTCCCTCGGATTGTAAGGATAGGCTTCAGGTTGTGTATTTCATTCATCCAGGGCTCCGCTCAAGGCTGGTCATTGCCACTCTTGGTCGCTTGTTTCTAAGTGGAGGGTGAGTTGTTTCTTCACATCTTTAACTATCAGAACACCTGAATTCAGCATATGCTACTTTCAGAATTTAGAAAATCATCTGAACTTTCAAAACATATCTGAGTTACTTCATAGTTGTGTATGTAGGTTGTTTGGAAGGATAAGGAAGAATTGCTTGTAGAATGGCATCACTTTTAAAGTGATTCTGTAGAAAAATTTAGGTTGCATAGAAGGTCCATAAATGAGATTCTGAGGACCTTAAATTGGGTTTATTTTCACCTGGGTTATAAAATATTCATGAAAGGATCTTATACCCATGAAAATACTTTCTTTTCCAGTTATTGCATCATAAAACAGAACAGATACTGCCCCATTTTTTGATAGGTTGGATGCTGATGTTCTGTTTGATTGGGTTTTCAGAATTTGTTTTTAAAAAATTTCAAAAACTGGTTTGGTGAAAGAAAAAAAAAAAATTTAAAAGAACTCATAAGTTTCGTATGATTTTTTTTTTCTTTTTGAGGGCATTAATAATTGTGAAAAATTCAAAAATCTGTTTTTGAATGTTTATTTTTGTCAAAGTATTTTCTTTTTTTCTTTCTTTCTTTTTTTTGGTTAATTTTCTTTTGCAAAATTTGTGTCATTTTGAGGAATGTGAAAGTAGTTAACACTGGAGGATATGTGCCCCAATGTGCCATTTGAAATCATTATAGTATTATCACATTCCATTCTTCCTAGAAGTTAATTTCAAGCATGTGGATAATTGCTTGTGTACTTTTTAGCATCTATCCTAAAATGTTGCTTAATCACATAAGATTGTTGTTGCCATTCTTCTAATTTGTATTATCCCTTCATCATCTCTGAATTTCCTTACTTAGACTTGATTTCCTGCAAATAAACCCTAAATTTTTAGTCTATGATGGGTCGTTTTTCATACCAAAAATAAACACTAAATTATACTCAAATTCCTTGGAATAATGGCAAATCCAGGTATCGATCCACAAGGACTAATGTAAAATTAAACTAATTTAACTTGCAAGATTTCAAAATTAATTTTGATAAAAAGATTGAGGAGAATTATATTGAAACGAGAATTAAAATGAAAAGAGAAATTAAATTAACAATAAAAATTAAGGTTTGAGATATTAATTGAGGAAAATTATAAGGCAATGAATTCACCACTAGTTACATAAATAAGGTTTAAAATTGGAAGTTGATTGTGCTATAGTTCAAACCACCCAATACTTTACAACTACAAGCTTGAAGTATTGATTTGATCACGAAGATTATCGCGTTCAACGTGTAGGCACGAATAATCTCAGGTAGTACGAGTTGTTCGTTCTAAACTAGGGTAGCAACATGATTAGTTTCTCGTAGCATGACTCGTCTCATACTTTAAATACGAAAGAAAAGATAACAATTGTATGGGAAGCATTCAACAATCGCAAAAAGTAGAACACTTAAAAAGAGAATAGTAGAAAATATATTGAAAATTTTCTAAAACACCATACAACTTGTTCAAATCATTACAACAATCAAAAACCTAAGAAAAATCCTATTTACTTGGTTAGGGTTTCATCAAAACCCTAGAAATAGAAGCCTGGCCGCTCATGGAGGAGTGGAAAGATGAGGAAGAGGTTGAAGCCACCATGGAAGCACCACCTTGAAGTCCAAATCTTCTCTTTCAAACCCTAGTCTCCCTCTTCCTTCAAAAAAATATTCAAACCCGTCTCCTGCTTTTCATTCTTCTTTTTATACCTTCAGACTCCCAAGACAGGTTGAAAAAGTCACGCACACTTTCCGAGGTAAAATTGCACGTCAGGGAAATGTTGGCTGCATGTGTGGGAGTATTCGATTCGCTGCACTTCCATTTTAGCCACGTTTTGACTCGTTTTACACTTGTGCGCACCCAACCTGATTCAAATTAAATACTTGTGAAGTATGCCAAGTTATACGAAGAAAAACGTTAAATAATATCTATTATCGGCCTTAATGTACATCTCAGCCTCAATCAGTCTAGTGGCAGTAACTTATTGAGTTTTGTAAATTTTTAACAAGCCAGCAATGCCATCAATGTTCGTTTGTGCTCACAATTATTTCTTGTATGGATACAGCTTATATTGGAAAATCAAGTATATTAGCCGGCTGCAGTACCTTTGGGAAGATGTAAGTAAAGGAGAGGTTGAAATCCCGGAGTTTGTGCAGAATCATGATGATATTCTGGAGGAAAGACCGCTGACAGATTATGGAATTGAACCAGATCCACTCCGCTTAACTGAGATGCCTACAGCCTACTCATTTGGGAGAATTGACGAGAGGTGGGCAGCTAAAGAATTTATGTCTTAAGAGTGTGGCTATTATTATGGAGGCTCAAAGCTAGAATATGAAGCCTTGTACATATTAATGTTGTGTGTTGCATTTGGGAACTTTGAACCTTTTCTGCTTGTGAGCTAAACTTTAGCAGCAGATGTTTCAGTAAATTATGTATGTTTTTTTTTTACATACCTGGGGAGGGATGAAAAATGAGAGAATGAAGAATAGAGAGATGAAAGATGAAAGCAAAAGTAAGACAAGGGTTTTGTAAGAAAAACCGAGCCTGAGGGCCGAGTGATGTGAGCATTACATATGTGAGATTGGGTGGGAAACATTACCTGCAGCAGTAGTGGACTCCCCGCAAATCTGGTCGTCTCCCGGCGATGGAAAGCATCCAAGCCCATCAGCGTCTCAGCCAGTGCCATCGCAATACAACTCTTTCCATCCTTCAAACCTTGAGCAACTTCAATCAGGCGAATGCTAGATCCACCAAAGCCTGACACAAGCAGAAAGTGAGATAGCATACACAAACAAAGGGCATGTTGTCGGAAACCTTGCCAATGATGATCGCTACGGTCACCAGTATCAGAAAAGCGGTAAATCAACCCGAGGATGTCCAGTTCCTCATTACAGATCAGAGACCGAGCGTCATGCGTGGTGAGTCCACACATCCGCCCTAAAGCTTGGGCGTGGCCAAAGCGAAACTGAGGCAAGATCTCTTCACAACATTCAGATTCCATCAAAACTTGAAAATCCTCAAAAGATGGACATACCTCTTGCCCGCCGAAGCTAAAGACATGCGTCACCGGGTTCCAAAACCTTGCCGCGGCATGGAGGAAAGGGAGATGTAACGGAGTGCGGCTCAGCGTGAATAGTGCATTCAAGCCAAAGCCCCGGAAGTTCAACTTTTCCGAGCCGTCTAAAGAAGCAATCCAAGCTGTGAGATTTTCGACGAGAAACGCTTCCATTTTGATGCAAAACTGAGATAAAATGAATAAGCCACGGAGCTAGGACTTTTAAAGAGGATAAGACACTGTTCGGGGGGACACGTGTCGAAAATTTGGTGGTGGCTGGGCTAAGTGGCCGGTCGGCTACCTTTTCTAGCAGGCCGGCCACCTCTCCCTCCCTCAAATGCAAAAAGCTGGTCGACCAGCTCCCAAAAGTGGCCGGCCATGCTGCAATCTGCGTATTTGGCCCTGTTTTACTTTCCAGAAGAAAGTTCCTAGCATTTTCGTGCATCGGGAGTGTCAAAAGCCTCAATTTCTCTTTGTTTCGGATGCGTTTCGTCGCCCGAATCGTCCGAAATACACTTTGTTATAGAGATGTTAAATTTTGCTTATCGAGTTGTTGTTTTACTTATTGAGTTGTTATTTTGTTGGTCGAGCTGTTTCGTTTACCGAGTCTTGTTTTATCGAGTCGCCGAGTTTTTTGTGCATTTGAGTTGTTACTCTTTGTTTATCAATTTTGTTGTGTTTTGCTTATCGAGTTGTGAACTTACTGAGGTTTTTGTTATTTCTCAGTAAGGTTAGGTTGTTTAGTTTATCGCGACGGTTCGTTACCTGACTTGGCACAAACACAATGCACATTTACTGTTCAAATCTCTTTACTTACAAAATGATGTGATGTGATGCGATGTGATGCTGAGAACATAAAATACAACACATTTTCAAAAAAGTTGTTTCATTCCATTATGATTCCTTTGTTACAACATTTTACAGCAAAGGTACAAGTTTTACAGAAAATGAAACTGCCTAATAATATACAATGTGCTACAACTACTAGTAAAAAAGATAAATAAAGCAGGAAACAGTTGCAGCGATGCTCTCAAGAGCAGGAATAAGAGGCCCTTTTCGTCCTCTTCTGCGGAACAGGCTCTGCACCACCGGCACCATCTGAGTCGGAGCTGTCATCCTCAGGACCCTCTTCAGCCTCCTCTCCACTGCCGGAACCAGGGTCAGAACCCTCCTCTCTGTCAGCAGAGGTCTCCGACTGGCAATCTGTAGCCTCCTCCTCCCCCTCGTCCTCATCAGGTTCCTCCTCTACGATGTGTGCCCTGCGTCTGCGGGACGACTCCCCTCTCCCGGCCCTGCGAAAAGGCCGAGATGGCCCGGCTCCCCGAGAAAGTTGAGATGGCCCGGCCTGTGGCGGATATACTGGAGGCATCTGAAAATGAAAGTGCAATTTAAATACATCAGCTCAAATGTATATGAGATACAGATGCAAGAAAACTACATGAAATGAGGGTACATGCAGGTACAATATGTAAATGTGGTGTGTGTCAGATGTGCTCTACACAGACGACCTATCAATGCAGTGAAATGATCAAGTTCAGCATGTCATCGGAAGTATGATAAAAGCGAGAAAATTAAAGAGTACCTGGACTCCCATGACGGACAACAGTGCCTCTCTCCGCAAGACCATGCCCTCGAGTGAGGCCACCAATCCGACCACCCCCTCCATGTACTCTCTGGATGGCTGCAGATACAAGCTCAAATCATCAATGAATGAAGAAATGTCTAAGTATTTGAATGATAGATGAAAAGTAGTGGAGCATACCAGTGGTGAGTCGGGGTCAATGACATATCGATGATTAGGCATGGGAGGCTCCATCGGAATCGGGTAGGAGGTCCCGTATCGCCATCCTGTCAACTCGGTCGGCATGTCTGGCCATCCGGCATGATGATGAGTCGTAGGAATCGGGGGAACCAGTCCAACCCCTCCTCTCGATGTGCCAGCCCTGCTAATAGAAGAGGCGCCTGCAGCCTGAGCTCGACTTGAAGACGGCATGTCAGTGGACCTCCTCGAGGGAGCGCGGACACCTGTCAACGGAGACATTAAGTAGGTGTGACGGTAAGTCGCGTACTCCCCGTCCTCTAGATACAGCAGTGCATCGGTGCACACAACAATTGTTTGACTTCTACATAAGTTAGCATTATTCTGGATCTTAAATCAGCTATTAGATTAGCCTCAGCAAATGAATGGTTTATAAATTGACAAACTGGAAAGTGTTGGGAGATACAACTCTACAAGCAAAATAGAGGTCATGCATGTAGCAACTTCATCTTCAGGACGAAAAATTTTGCATACCACAATATAAAGGACAAGTATTCTGAAACAATGTTTATCAAATGACTACTTTATGGTGGTCAGTGTTTTCTTTTACACTGATTAACAATAAAGAAACAAATGGCTACTTCATGGTAAAAGCTCAGGATGTCAAGCTTGAGAACAGGTTTGAGTCAAGGGACGCCACTTCATGTGAATAAAACCAGAAAGTAGGTTTGTACCCTGTCTACCAACTCAGCCTCAAGGAGAGAAACCCAAATGCAAATATCAATCAGTTCTCTTTTTCTTCCTTTTTTGAAAGGTAGATATCAACAAATACTCCTTAAGCTTATATCATTATACCACATAATTTATTTTTCAACAGCAGTGAATACCAAGTGCCCTAGTTAATTTATTTTTCAATAGCGGTAAATACCAAATGCCTTTGTCTTCTATGAAGTTCCCTTAATTACATTATGAACTACCCTGAATTTCCTATGTTTTGATATTTCACAAGAATTGCCTCCTAATACTACTCAGCAAGGAAACTTCTATTTTAGATTCCTTTTTAAATCAACAAAACTCATGCAGTCCCAGTTCGTTTTAATATACTTCATGTCCAAGTTAAGATTGAATCTATGTCAATGCAAAGTAAAATAATCCAAATTGAAGGTCAAAATCAAAATAGACCGTTGTACACAAAGGGAAGATTAGTTTGTTTTTTGGTTTTTTAAGTTTGTAGAAAAACTGTCCATTTGAGATTTTTACCCCACTTTGTATTCTAAACCATTGTTAGACATGTTATATAATCTCATAAAAGAGCAAATTGCCTGTTGGATATTGCCATGGAATAAAATTCAATAACAATCAGAAAATGAGATGAACACAATCAAATGTGTCAAGAAAGCATACATCACAAGTATTCGACCATAGCTATAAAAGTCTTTTTTTGACGATTAGCTCTTCTCAAAGAAAGCCTGTTTAGTTAAGTTTGACAAACAAGGATGGATTAGGTGGCTGGAATTTAAGGCATAGAAGGAAGAGCTCTTCAAGATGGATGTGTTCAAACTAATCAAGATGGATGAATACAATCCTTGTTAGTCAAATAGTTCTAGGATGCATGTTATCCTTAATGAAATTTTGAAACATATCTGCTAATGAGGAATCATAAATCATGTCAAACACAAATAGGAATCATAAATCAAATATATTTTCTAAAAGCATTACAAGAACCAATCAAACAAGCTAATGAGTGTAGACACCCCATTTTTGACCGACCTTAGGACTCAGACGTCACTAGTTGAGTGCTCAGTGATATTGCATATTGTGCTCGTTCAGAAGTTTCAGAGTCCCGGCAGCGAGCCTTGCCTCCGGACTTCCGAACTCTTTCGTGCCTTGCCTCGGTTTGCGAATCAGGCTCCGTTTTCTCTGTAGGACTGGTACTCCTCAGGCCGTGGATACCTTTGAAAGATCGGCTGAAAAATATTACGTGATGAAATGAAATTTTAGGGCCTTAATTGAGTCAGTCCATATCATAATTCCTAATATACACAATGCCATATATACACAATATATTCTCACAGGAACATCATCAATAGGATTAAGACTGGATTCATGTTCAACAAACATTTGAAATAGTGGCACTTGTGTGTTATAATACTATCCATGAAAAAAAAACAATTGGCTTCAATTTTTGCCAAAGTAGGATGGTAAGCTAGCATTTTGCAGGTTTAAATGGAAATTCATAATCTCTTTGTTGGTGGGTGGTGAGGTTATAAAGATGCTGCAAAGGTTCCCATGGGAAGTGGCAGTTGACCCCTACATTGGGATCAATGGAGAAACTTACAGAAAACACAAGAATTTCAGAAATGACACAAAAGAATATGAAATAAATAATCACAATGAAACATTTGTTTAACCAATTTAGGAGTTTATTCTAAACTGTAAAGAATATCATAGATTGTTAAACTAAGATTGAATCAGCCAAAATTTCCATTAGACATTAGAACTCAAAGTTGACATTTCATTTCAAAAACCTTAACGCTGTATTTGGTTGAAAATTTGGAAAGGGATTTGGAAAGGAGGGAAAAAAAAAACCCTAAAAATGAAAGATGATGTTATGCGATTTGAAGATGATGTTACCTGAATGAAAGATGAAACAAAAACCCCAAAAATGTAGATAGATATAGGTGTGTGTATGTATGTATGTATAGAGAGAAGAGAAGAGGAGAAAAACAGAGAAGGGAAGGGAGAAGGGGTATATAAAAATATATATATACACATACCGAGAGAGAGAGAGAGACGAAACAAGGGTTTTAGGAAGAAGGAAGAGAAGAAAGAATGCCTTACCAACGTGTGGCTTTGAAGAACCTCGAAAGGGCCTACGCAAATAGAATAGATAAACAATTAGAAATTGAAGCCAAGTCCAAGTCGAAACAGTCGAAGCAGATTACAAATTGATTCAATGGAAAGCGTGATTGCTTTGTTGAGGAAGGAAGCGGACTGCGTCAATGGACTGCCATGCGTCTCGATCTCAACCGATTCAATTGATTGAAGAACCCTTTCCCCTTCACCGACGTCTTTCTTCTCTCTCTCTCTCTCTCTCTCTCTCTCTCTCTCTCTTCTTAGAAACTTAAGATATGTTTGGTTTGCATTTAGTAGATGACTTTTAGAAAAAAAAATTTAAAAATTATTTGGTTTGAGGTCTTTTTAAAAAAAATTTAAAATTACTTTCTCTCTTTTATACATTAATTAATCATTTTTTCTTTCTCATCTCTCCTTTTTAATTACTTTTTCTTTCACACATATCTACTTAAATTCTCCCAAAATATCAAATCATCCCAAACTCCTAAAAAAATAACTCTCTCAAAAAACTCAATCAAATAAACTAAAAAAATTTCTAAACTCTCTCTCCCAAAAAAATTTCAAAAACAACTCTCCCAAAAACAAACCAAATAAGCCCTTAGTGTTTTTTTTTTTTTTTTTGAACTGTATCAGTCTATTTGATAATAAAAAAATAAATTAAATATATGTTTTTTTTCAATGGTGCTAGGGTTTTGGCGCCTAAAATATTTTGGGCATACCATTCACGACACATGTGGTAAGCTATAAAAAGTGACTTATCTTTAACGATTGGTATACGTGTGTCGTATATAACTGATATATTAACGGCATTGCATATGTATGTCATAGAAAGTTTTATTATTTACGACTAAATTTGCAAGCCGTAAAAAAATTATCATTTTTACCATTGACAACTTGCGCAATAAACACGCCGTGGTTAGTATATTATTTACGACATGTAAAAAAAACAAGTCATAAAAGTGAGAAATTGCGACTTGCATTCATTGTATGCCATTGATGTGGTGCTGTAAAAAGTTAATTTTATTGTAGTAAGACAACATCCATAGATCAAGACTAAAATATGTTCAACAAAGTTGGTAGTTTGGTCGCAATTCTATAACTAGTCTTCTAAGAAGACTAGGAACATCGCGTTAAAAGCATAGATCTTCAAAAAATAGTGCAGTTATACAAAACTCATACCGAGACTCTATATCCAACAAAGAACTTAATACTCAACAAAAAATATAATTAGTAGCGAACTCCTATTACACCAAGGCAAAGAAGTATTCCTTAAAACATTTTCTATTTTGGTAGCCTCAAGTAAAGACAGTTCTTTGTCAATACAAGTGTATAAATTCAGAGATTACCTTTCACTGTAATATACAGATAACGCATAGGGTAAAAGAATTCAAACCATAACTTAGGTAATAGAATCCGAAAAGAAGAACCTTGTGGGTAAATCACGTGTTTCACAATCACGAACTAAGAACACCCAGTAATGGAGTGATACGACAGTATGAGTATCACCCACTCTAGTCACAGTGCAAAGGCTTGATCATTATTCTAATGGGAGAGAGTTAGAGAGAGAAAGAGAGTGGGAAAAATTCATTCGCTATTTGATTCATCCCACATCCCATATATCGTATCTGATATATAGGCTAGATTATAACCATCTATGCATATCTCTTGATAAGATATGATAGATATAGATAGTGATAGTGGTTTATCCAAATAGGATAGTCATGAGTATTCAAATTTAAATTACATGGATAATTTAAATGGGTCATGCCACATGGGCACCCAAATTTGGGTCCAATACCTGGCCCAATTTCCAACATCTCTCACTCATATATGAGTTGGTAAGATACTGCTACATCTCTATCTCAATCTCCCCAAAAATTGAACAATCTCATACTAGCTAATGAACCATGCGACCATTGAGAACACCTGCATGGTGGAGCTCTATACTAGAAACTCAAAATGAGCCAGCATAGAGACATCAACCCAAAAAAAGAATAGAAATAGTGTCTCATGTACCCAGACCCATCTAGTTACATCGATCCAAAACATCTTTAATCCCTCAAAGAGCATGTTTGACCCTCCTAGGTCCCGCATTATATTCACACTCAATCAGCATCCCATACAGAGTGATATGAGTTGTCGACAGTGAATATAGAGCAGAGATGTAGAACTAAATGATCTTCCCTTCACCCTCATATCATTTAACTCGAACTTGAACGCTTTCCCATAAAGCCGAATCATACATGACTGTAGGCAACATACCAAAGTAGTCAAACATCAACTCCTTATCTTATGACATAGTCAAAGGTCACAAAAGGTACAAAGTAAAGTCATTGGAAAAAATATGACTTTTAGGACTCACACGGTGAAGAAACAGAGATACATTCTCTCACCTCGCTAACGGGTCAATAAGCACATGCAGTACGAATGCATGCTATAGTGGAGTAACTCTTCCAAAGAGTGATGTTAAACTCATACATCATACAGATCTTAGTCTAGTCGTTCTTAAGTGCACAAGTCGCTTCCTAGCGTCTAACTCGAATTCTCTATTTGCTCGCCTCTTAGGCCTCAAATGAGATCTCGAATTTGGCTATCCATATAAGGCACATCATGGAAACGTAAGTACTCTCATATCCATGGTTTCTCTTTAACAAGACCTCATCTTGACTCTAATTAATGCGACATAACTAGTGGATAATTTTAGCCTCTCTCTTGGCTCCAAATATAATAAGCCACTAGTTTTATCCTTGCTCACTACCTAGCGCTAAGGGCGATTGCTCATGTGAGTGAGCCAATCTTGCTAGCTAGAATCAAATTTATTTATTCTGTGTGTGCTAATTCACAAACCACTGCAAAAGGTAGTAAACATAAATGTGTAATAGAAACAAATATGACTATTGATGGCATAAATATCCCCCCTCGCCCCCCCAAAAAAAAATAATAATAAATAAGAGTTCAACTGAATACACATATATCACCACTTACGTAGTCCTAAAGCCCTAACATGAGTAAGATAAACATCTCTGGCAATGGGCTTAGTTAAGGGGTTCACAACCATACGACTCATAGGGATGTGCTCTAGGATCACTTCTTTTTACGCCACAATGTCTTTGATAAAGTTGAATCTCACATGAATGTATTTGGTTCTCCCATGGTACTTAGGATCCTTAGCGTAAGCGAGTGCAGCCAAGCTGTCACAATGGATAGTCACAAGGTCTAAACGGCTTCCTGAACGACAGATGAACAATATCCAAATGCTGAAGGAATCTCCTTAACCAAACAGCTTCCTAAACGGCAGATGAACAAGCCATAAACTCAGCCTCCATAGTCGATAAGGCGATATAGGATTGCTTCTTACTGCTCTAAGAAATAGCACCATCACTAAGCATGAAAGCATATCCTAAAGTAGATTTACGCTCAACCAAGTCTCCTCCCCAATCAACATCACAATAGCCAACTAGACATAGATCTGAACTTTGGTAGCAAAATGTGTAATCTGCAGTCCTTCTAAGATATCGTAATATCCTCTTAACTGCTTTCCAATGAGCTGGTCTTGGGTTGGATTGGTAACGACTCATTAATCTGATTACATAACAAATGTCAGGACGTGTACACACCATAACATACATCAAGCTTCCAACAACATTCGCATAGGGTACACGGGCCATCTTTTCATTGTCTTCTAAGTCTTAGGAACCATATCAAGGCTTAGGCTCTCGCCTCTCGCTACAAGAGTGTCAATGGGTTTGCAGCTCTGCATCTGGAATCGCTCTAGGATAGTCTTAATGTAAGTCTCTTGAGACAAATCGAGAAGTCTCCTAGAGCGATCCCTAAGGATCTTAACACTGAGTACATAGCTTGCTTCACCATGTCTTTCATCTTAAATGTAGAGAACAACCACTTTTTAGTGGCAACAATCATCTCCTTGTCATTTGCAGCCAATAATATGTCATCCGCATATAATGAAAATATCAGAAAATTGTTCTTAGACTGCTTAACGTACACACAGTGATCTTCATCGATCATCGTAAACCCATTCGAAATAATGGCTCGATGAAATCTCAAATTCCACTGTCTGGATGATTGCTTTAAGCCATAAATAGATCATTGAAGCTTGCAAACTTTGTGCTCCTAACCTACTGCCACAAAGCTCTCTGGTTGATCTATATAGATATCTTCATCCAATTCTCCATTGAGAAATGCAATCTTTACGTCCATCTAATATTGCTCTAGGTCCAACTGAGCTATAATGGCTAGAATTAGGCGAATAAAGGCAACCTTCACAACTGGTGAAAATGTTTCTTTATAGTCCACACCCTCTCGTTGGGTATAGCCTTTCGCCACTAAACGAGCCTTATACCTTTCTATGGAACCATCTACCTTTCGCTTGATTTTGAGAACCCATTTGTTCCTAATAGTCTTGCGCCCTAGCGACAAATCAACCAAGTCCCAGACATGATTTTTCTTCGTAGTCTCCATTTCCTCATCCATTGTAGCACTCCATTCTTTACTAGCGGTGATGAGAGAGCCTCTTTGAGATTCTTAGGCTCCATCTCATCAATCGGAGCAGTCATGAATGCTTCCCTTCAATCTCAAAATGATGACGGGATATAGCTCCACATTTGTTTCTACACAATAGAGAGTCCTAAGAATCCTCATTCATTGGATCTAATCCATGACTATGAAAATCGCTCCCGTTATCCTTAGGAGCTTAAGGATAATTTCCTCATTCTCTACTAGGCTACTAAGTGAGCCTTCATGTAGATCCTCAATCTCATAGAGCTCTACATCTCTAGTTACCTCACCTCTGCTAAGGAAATCCACATCTTGTGACTCAATTTTAGTCACACTTCCATCTGGATGCTCCCCAACAAACACATAGCCTTTAGAATGCTCACTACAGCAAATGAAGATACACCCTTTTCCTTTAGGGCTGAACTTCCCAAACTTATGAGAAGCATTGTGTATGTAAGCTGCCAAACCCCAAGGCCGCAAATTGCCCATTTTAGGTTTTTTGCCAGTCCACATCTCATATGGCTTGGAAAGAACTGATTTAGACGGCGCACGGTTAAGGACGTAGGCAGCAGTCAACAAAGCATCTCCCCAATAAGAAATGGGAAGATTAGCTTCGCTATCATAGATCTAACCATGTTAAGCAATGTGCAATCCCTTCGCTCTGCTACACCATTTTGCTGCGGAGTCCCAGGAATTGTTAATTGCCTGATGATTCCTTTTTCCTCACAGAGCACTTTAAATTACTCAGATAGATACT